AGTAGCAGAATAGAGATTAATAATTTAGAGATATAAAGTATATTGTAGTATCAGTACTTTATACAATTTTTACAAAAGTCTCAAGTACTATGGAGATAGTACTTGAGCAATATTTTCTTTTCTTTTTTTTGTTTTTGTTTTTGTTTTTCTTTATATATTTATTATCTTATATATATAGTATATGCTGTAAGGTAATATAGTTATTTATATATAGTATTTTATTTTTCTTTTTCTTATATAGAAGGGTATTATCAGTTTAGTAATATTTAACTATATAGGTGAGAAGTTATAACAAGCTAGGTAGACTTATATAGTAATACTGATAGGAATAGGATAAATTAGTCTAGACTTTAGGTTGAATTAAATCTACTTTATAGCAAGTCATGAATAGGTACTAATAGGGTAACCAGTTAAGTCTTACTATTGATATTCACATCTATATATGTATTACCTTCTTTAGTTATTAAGTTAGGCATATAAACCCTTGTAGTTTTATATTTATATTAAATAAATAATAAGGTATAGCTTGCTGAAAAGGAAAAAAAAATAATATAAACTTAAAAATAATATATAATAAAAAATCTGCAAACAGCTTGTTGATAAAAACTCTCTAGAATTACAATAAATAGTTAGATATTTAGCTAACTTTATAAAAAAAAATAAAAATAAAAATAAAATAAAAAATAAAAAATAAAAATAAAAGAATATTATAATTTTTCGAATATACAATACATTGTTATATCTTTGTACCATATACAGTTATATATATACAACAATAGTAATTTCAAATTTAAGTTATTTTGACATATACATGTCATGCATATTAATCACTTGTCATATCAAACAAATAAATAAAGGGTTCGATTATATAATTGAACTTCTACTGCTTTTGAACAATTAAATTTCTATCACTTTTGATATCAAGATATACGATCTTATCTCAGCGTTAGTTAATAAAGAAAAAAAGATATTACGAGTTTTCATAAAAAAACTATACTTGTAGTGAATTTATAGTAGTACAAACATTTGCACTTCCTTCAAGAGCGTTTCTTTTTTTTTTTTTTTTTTGCTATAATAGTTTTATTCTTTTTTAATCATTGTTGCACGTTTTTAACAGGTTTTTTGATTATCAGCTCTTTTTTTTTTTAAATTGTGACTGTTGCATTTTTAGGAGTTTAACTTTTTTTTTATTGTAATTACTAGATCCAACTCTATTCTTGTTCTTCACAGTATCTCTTTTTTTTTACTATAGTAGTTTTATTCTTTTTTATCATTATTAGCAAACTTAAAAAGTTACTTCATTATAATTGAAGGTTCTGAAGAAGACAATGTTCTTTACTTTGGTAATTCTTCAGAATTAATCTATAACACAAGTAAGTTTGCTAAAAAAAATAGTTATTGTTTGAATTTTAATATACAAACTAACAAATATATCACTGGTTTAACAGATCCTTTACAAATATCTAATGATATATTATTTCATGACAATGCCGAACTATCCTCACTCTATTCAGGAAAAAGATTTACTATATGAGAAGCATGTGAATCTTTTCTTAATGAATAGGCAAAGTTTCGAGGATTTCATATAATTAAAGATCATATGCAATGTGATAATGATATTATAAGGTGCAGAACTTTTATATGCGATCATGGTCATGTATATAAATCAAACTCAATGAAGGACACAAATACGAAAAAGATACAATATCCTTTTTTAATTAATACCTCCTGTTCTAAAATAAATAACTCTGAATTTTTCATAGTTATTAATAAAATTGTTGAAAGTCATAACCATTCTTTAAATCCAAAAAAAATCGAATTTGAAGATAACAAAAGATTTACTGAAGAGATGTTAGAGGATATAAAGTTTATAACTATGTTTTGTAAGTTTGGAGCTACATCTCAACACAAATTTCTCGAAGGAAAATACCCTACACAACCAATTTATTCAAAAGATTTATATGCTGCTATACAAAAATTTCGCCCCAATAGTAAAACATTATCTAATGATGCTGCACAGGTAAAATTAAAACCAAACACGTAATTTGAACTATAGATTGTAAATTTAAATAGAGTCAAATTTATTTCTAGATCTCAAATTGGCTTGATCAAAAGAAGAATGAAGATTCGCGTTGGTTTGTTGCTCATGATTGGGATGACAATAATACTTTAACTCACTTGTTCTAGATAATGCCTACTCAAATTAAAAATTGGATACAATATTCAGATTGTATATTAAATGATGTAACACATAAGACAAATCGATATGGCATAGTGTTGTCATTATTTGTGGGATTCAATAATAACAGGCAAAATCTTTTGTTAGCTCAAGTACTTTTAATTGATGAAAGTCTCGAATTATATAGGTAGATGTTTCAACAAATAATTAAGGCAACAAGTATTCATCCATCAGTAATATTAACTGATTCAGACCCAGCAGTTGATTCTGCAATTAGTCAAGTCTTTGTTTTAATATATCCTATTCATTATGCTTATCATATAAGCCAAAACTTACATAAACACCTAAGAAAGACTTTAGAAGAAAACTATTCACGATTTCTTAAAGATTTTTATAGTTGTCGGAATAGTCTATCTAAAAATGTCTTTTAGCAACATTTTGATAATCTTATTCAGCAGTATTCTAATACTAAAAGTTATTTAGAATTTCTTTACAAAACGAAAGGCCATTGAGTACATTGTTTTATTAAATTTAAATTTATAGGCAGTATGATTGCTACTTCCCAGGTCGAATCTGTAAATGGAAAATTAAAACAATTATTGCACAATTCTAATATCTCATTATGTGAACTCATATTAGAAATACAAAAGTTACTTGATATACAAGATATGGAAAATGAATACAGGTATTTTATAATTTTTGTAAAAATGATAGTTGATTAATATTAGGTATGTTAAATATTAACGTATCACAAAATATTTAGATTTTGGCATATATCAATACCAAACATTTGTAATTAAGATAAAGTAAATTTCTTGTTTACTGGAGTTGATCAATGCCTCCAATGATACCTCAAGTCTAATATTTTGAAAATGCAGCGGGATGAGATAAACTAATCAGTATATTATGTTACTAGTCAGGTGTCTCAACAAGATATAGAACTTTATAATGAGGTACCGGTTAAAGGTGCTAACAAATACTAGATAATTATAGTCTCTATTAAATGCTCATTATATTTAATTGCATTGTCAAATAAGCATTTTGTAGAGATTATAATTATTTAATGCGTATTTGTCAGCTCTCTTAATTAATAGTATTTTATTTTGACAACACAATCATTAATTTAATAATATATATCAGGAAAATTAATTGATAATTATTCATAATGAACAATTTGTTGATGAACTACAAGCTACTCTCAATCAGATGATTGAATTTGTTGAATTTCATAATGTCAAAGAAATTTGAGCAATTAGTGTTGGAAATTCTTTAGAAATAAAGCATTATATCCTACTACTTCAAAAAAATTCATATATATGCTCTTGTCTCTCTATTATACAGTGTGGTATAGTGTGTAGACACTATTTTCAACTAATGCTTACAAAAAGCAATGCAATGTTCCATATCCGAATATTACCTTCTCAATGGTATTCTACCAATTAAGTTAGTTCAGAAGAGCAATTCTTAGTCGCAGATAAATTTTCTCAAAATATGTCAGCTTCGCCAAATGATACTTCAATTCCTTATTTGTATTTTTTCAGACAGGAAAAAGCAGATTTTTATGAAAAAAATATGACATCACTTGAGCAAAAAATTATTTACGAAGAGCTTCATAGTACATACAAAAAGGCTTTAAATAAAGCTTTGAAAAACAAGTCAAAATCTTTACAGCTAATTGATTTACTCCAAGATTTTGCTGAAGAGGATAATACTGATGATGAATCAGATTCTAATAAAAGCCAACAAGATGTTAGTTATATTGGCAAAGAAAATTTAAATCCTCAATTACAAAATCTAAAAATACGTCAAGGAAAGGGTCATCCATTGAATACTAAAAGATTAAAATCATCTCATGAAATTACTAAATCTAAACCAAAACAGCAACGTTGATGCAAAAAATGTGGAAATATAGGGTATTATCAAAAAAATTGCAAAGAAATATAAATAATAGAAGTTATATATTTAATGGCTTGTATATAGTCAGAATTTAATTTGTTGCTAAATTACTATATCAGTAGCTACAATGATAATTTTATTGTTTTGAAACGATTCATGAATTTGATATTACATTCTTTTATACTAACAATCTTTTTTTTGTTATATAATTATATCTGGTATACTTTATTTCTTTATACCAAGTTATAGTAGAATAGCATAGCGAAATAGTATGTTATAGTATATACGTATGAAAGTTTATATATTTATTATCGATAAGAAGTACTGTAATTCTTTAAGTATCCTCTTTCTAAAGGTTAGAGTTAGAGTGAGTACTATTATAGTTTGTCTTTCTTATTAGGTGTTTTAGATAAAATACTTTACGTTTAATAAGATTTTTCTTACGAATTTTTATTGACATGGAGTAGAGTTAATATCTTTAAGTATTCCTTTTCTTAAAGTTAGAATTAGGGTGAGTACTACTATAGTATTAGATGTTTTCAGTAAAAGCTTTTTAATTTTTTTATTTGTACATTGTCAAGTCGAATTATGTTCATAGATATGCTTTAATATACTATATACTATATTATTTTCAAAAAAGAAATCTTAGTTTATTACATGATACGAATCTCAAAAAGATGTGCTGAAAGTCTAAACAAATTAATATATTTAGAACTAAAAATACTAATATGGCTATTAAATAACTAGCTTTTCTATTTGTGTTGGTAATACAAATCTACATATGTATATATACACTTGAATTTAGAAGATGACTATAGAACAAAATATCGCTTGTAATATGTGAAGTTTAATTCTTATTGTTTTTAATTGATGTGACAAGAATGATTTAAATGTGTATTATTTTTTTATTGCACATTTAGGGTTAGGGTTAGGGTTAGGGTATAATAGGTTTTAGTATAAATACTGAAGCAGAGGTGACAGCTATAGCGAAAGTATATACTTAATTTTTATCATTTTAAAAACTAAAAAAATTATTTTAAATATTTAATAACTAATAGACAATATACGAACTATCTGATTAGCTATTTCTTTTTTTAGAATTTGTATTACTGCTATATCACGTAATTCATAGGGACTAGTGATATATCGCTATAGCAATATATTACAATATCCAAAATAAAAATAAAATAAAAAATAAAAAATAAAAAATAAAAAAAAAATAAAAAATAAAAAATAAAAATAAAAAATAAAAAATAAAAATAAAAATAAAAAATAAAAAATAAAAAAGAATATTGATAACTATAACTAGTGGT